TGCATCTGAGGCAAGAAAGGCTTCTTGGTCGAGTTCCCCCAAGCCTCGATGATGCAGCTTTGGCAGAAATTGTGGCCGCAGTCTATGATCACTGGATCTGTGAAATACTCCAGGCAGATGAGCATGTGGTTTCCTCGCAGAGGTTCATGGACTGACCCTCGTCTGCCATTTCGTCTGCCTGAAAGAGAACAAAGGCTTTAGTTTCCTTTCTCCAGTTTCAAGTTACAGGGCGGGCCTTTCCCTCCCTCTGGGTGACTCATAGTTTTTGAAAAAAAAACAGCATAAGCCGGGGTGGTAAAAAACCGTTACAGTGTGCAGTGTCTTCACATCCGTTACCATGAATATCGAAGTGCATGGTGTTGCTGCCAAAGAATCCTGGCAATGGCCATGTCACCCCAAAAAGTAAAAAGTAAGGAGAAATGTGTGTGCATCTTATGGAGCAAATGCAGGCTGCGCAGCTATTTCTGAAGCCAGGAGAGCAAGTGGGATCAGTGCTTCAGGGATAGCTGCCCAAAGCCAGGAGAGCAAGAGGGATCAGTGCGCACCTACATCGGTGTGCACTGATCCCTCTTGCTCTCTGGCTTCGTTTTGCTGGAGAGGCGCGGCGCAGCTTTCCCTCTCTGCACAGCGCTCCTTCAGCGAAGCGGGAGTAGAAATGGAAGGGGCTCCGCTTCTCCTGCCGCTTAGCTGAAGGGGCGGTGCGCAGAGAGAGCTGCGAAGCAGGAGGAGAAACGGAGCCCCTTCCGTTTCTCCACCTGCTTTGCTGGAGAGGCGCTGAGCAGAGAGGGAGGAGAATTTTTTTTTTCTTGTTCTCCTTCTCTTAAAACTAGGTGCGTCTTATGGTTGGGTGCGTCTTATAGAGCGAAAAATACGGTAGTTTCATCCTCGAGTTTCCAGGGGAACACACAAGGAAAGAAGTGTGCAAGCTGTGAATAGGATAATAGGCTCCTTTATCTCCAGTCATCAATCACTGAGCTTAATTTTTTCTCTCACCAGGACATTTGTGGTGTCTAAATAACTGAAAGTGGGGAAATGGTTACACAAAACGCTTAACCAGCATTGCATATATTTAATAGCACTTTTAATACCCACCCAGGGCAGTGATGGATACTGCAGAGCCATTATGTCGCTCCCCGATCATCTGCCACTCCCCATCCAGCCTACGTGTCCACTCTGTGATGCGACACTCATAGTGGCCCTCGTCTGCCTTGAGGCTGTTGAAAATTTCGAGCGTGAAGGATCCAGGACGTATCTGCTCCATCTGGATCCCACATAGCTGCTTCGCTCAGCGTAAGACGGGCCAGGGCGTAGGGTGCCATCCCGGTCAAGTTGAACAATGTCACTTCGCCGGTTCTGCTTGTCCACAAGTTGCCAGGTGACAGAGAGCCGGTTTTGAGGTCTAAATCCTGTGCGGATACTGCAGCCAAATCGCAGGCTCTCTCCTTCTAAAACACTGCTGGCATTGTTGGTCACCTCCACAGAAATATTGGTCTCTGCAGTTAAAGGAGAGTGTATGCAATTATAGTTAGGGTTGCCTGGGGCCCGTACATATATTCACTGGCCGCTTTTCTGAACAAAACAGCTCCCTAGGGACTGCATGGAAAAATACAACATGTGATCTAGCAGTAAATGGATACACTCCGTAGCTGATTTCTATGAATGTGGCAGGTCTACAAAGTGCTATTGGTATTGGTAATGCTGGGATTATGTACCTGGAAATGTTCAGAGGAAATCATGTGGACAAATGTGGAAGGTGATATAAACATCTGAACCACTTTTGTGTCTTCTACAGTTCTGCAATTGGAACAGAACAATGTATGAAAAGCAGCTATGGGGGCCAATTTTGATAGCTACCGCAGATTCTAAAGAATCTTTTGCTTTCATTTCAGATTCAAACCATGAAACATAAACATTCATGGCTAAATAGAGATATGTCTGAAAACACAAGTTAAGCTGCCAGCCCTAGATGAATGCTAGCCAGGGCTAAAAATGGCTGAACTGTTGACCAGAACAGGCTGAACAGCACATCTACCATCAGTTCTTGAACGACTTCAGAATCTGCTAGTGAATTCACAACTCATAGTGTTGTGATGGCTTACCTTTAAAACCCTATGCAGTTTGTGATCCAGCCTTAATTTATGTGGGGTGGAAAATTTTTCTGAAATAGAACATTTCCACTTCTATATTTTTATTTTCTTTTTTCCCCACTTCTATATTTTTCTGCAAATAATTAATCTAATTTTGCATAGTATTAATTAGAAATGTAACGAATGTACAAAATACAAGTTATATTGGCCAACTGGAATGGATTCAACACCAGTCAAACCTAAAATAAAACTTGTAATTAGCTTCCTTCAGCTAACTATCCTTGGAAGCACATATATTTACATGAACAGCTCTTTAGGGATGCTAAATTTAGTATGCGATATACTTTTCAGCACCTTTGTTTTTTGTTTCCCTGGGCTGCAAACATAAGCATAGTTAGTGACAGTAAGCCCCAATGAGTCTTCATTCTGAATAAACATAAATAGGATTGTGCTGTTAAAATGTACATAACATAGGGAAAATATAAGCTATTGCTGTCATGCCTTACACATTTGCAAATATTCCAATAAAAATATTTCCAAGAAAAGGTTGGCGGTTTGTTGTAATACGACATTTACAGCACGGGAGTCACACATTATTGATTTTCCCCTTTATCAAAGGGAAATACTTGTATTCTGCTGGCACTTCGCTTATTTGCATAATGTTAATAATTTATTAATGTGTTGAGCCTTTTGGGGAAAGTGGCATGGATAACTAACCAGTCAAAATGAGCCTGAACTTCCTATGCTCATTATGTTCAACAACAGCCAAGGAGGTCAGCCCCATGAGTTGCTCTGTCTCATAACCATGCCTGAGGCCCAGTAACTCCTACAAATGCACACACACAACAGAAACAACCAACATCTCTGCTTACTGAGGGGCAGGACGGTGATGGTGTGTTCTTTGGTCGTTTGCTCTCCCATCAATAAATTCACCAGTCGATGTCTTCAAGCGCTCCGTCACCCGACAGTTGTACTTGCCGCTGTCCTCCAGGCGGAGTCGGTAATTTTTAAGACGTAGATGCTGTCACTTTCTTTGGCCACTTTCAGTTGTCCCAGAGCTTCTCGTTGGGCAAACTCATTGTTAAGGACCGGCACGGCATTCGCCCCAAAACTAGCAATCAGGGAACTGTTGAAGGCCCATGAGATGGAAAAGTATCTCTTGGCAACGTTCTGTACCTCCAGAATGCACCTGAAACTCCACTGGTTCCCCCACGGTGTAAGTCCTCTTCTCTGTCTCTAGCCGGACATTGATATCCATATCTACAAAGGAATAGAACACACACACACACACAAGCACGCACACACACACATTCCCAATGAAACTGTGTCACAGCACTGAACACACAGAAAAAACCAACGAGAACTTGGAAACGAAGACAGTTCATACTCCACCTACCCACCCTGATTTTATCCACCTCTTTAAATGCTATTCTTCTAACTGTGTCATCTGTATAATGCTCAAGGCGGCACAGGTTAAAAACAATTCTTAGTGTAAGTTAATTTGGCACGATTGCCTATTAAATATATACCAATTTTCTGCAAAGGAAGAAAAGGCAGGAATAGATCTGATCTTTCTTTCCTAGTAGCTTACTCTCTGCTGTTTTGAGAGATTATTCCAACCTCTAGGTACACTGTATGTTACAAGCACATGGCGTTCTCCAAAAAACCATTGGAAGCCTCTCAAAGGGCGACAATTTCCAGAACCCTTAACAAACTACAGTTCCTAGGATTATTTGGGGGAAAACATATGCCTTAAATGTATGGTTTTGATGTGCCTCGGTTTACATATTTTGATTCAAAGGTTGAACTGTGTATCAACTTAGCAACAGACCTTTTACGGGTCGTGCACTTTATCGAGAGGTCTTGGTCTGTAAAATGCCAAATAAGATTTCACCCACTGAAAGTATCAAGATACAGGAAATAAGTTTTATTTATAAATCAGGAAAACCTACCAGAACTAGAGCGAGTACTGACTGATAGGCCAAAAGAACACCACCATGAGCACAACAAAGGACAACAACAACAACAACAAAAGGTAAAACACTGCTTAGTAAGACCCTGAAAATAATTATCTCGTCTAGATTTTGCATTAAGGAAAACAGGGTATTAAATGTTCGATATAGATAAATATTATTTGAGCATTAATTAATGCTTCATTTACTGGAAATTTCCTTTCTTAACACCTATGCGCAAAAGCCATGACCTGCTGTAGTGGTTGAGGATTGCTCGTGGTCCAATATATGCAATGCATCACTTCCAAACATTACCTGTTTTTAATCTGACAAGAATGACTGTGGACTGTACTAAACACTTTAAAGCAGTATTTCTCAACCTGCTACCCTCCAGATGTTTTAGACTCCAACTCCAATCAGTCCCAGCCCAGTTGGCCAATGCACAGGGATGATGGTAACTGAAGTCCAAATCAGCTGGAGGGGACTAGGTTGGTGAAGGCTGTTAAAGTAAAAAGGTACACTTTACAATTGTTGGAAATCTTGGTTCTGCCTTTCAGGAAAATATTATTCCACCCATTCAAGAACACATTTCATACTTGAAAGCTGAAGTCTTAGTTACCTGGAAGAAAGTCGCACTAAACCAAATGGGGCTGACTCTTGAGTGGACAAGTATAAGGCTATACTGAAAGAGTTGTACACTGCCAAACTACTTATTTTCACTACACTTTCTCCCAAGATCCAAATTTGCTTCTCAAACAGCAACTGAAGTTCCCTGCAAAAACTCCAGGTGATTATTTTAATGCCAACATACCTTTATTTTGCAATGATACAATCAGTGTATGTCTGCTCTAAAATACATGTGGGCTGTTCAACAGTTTCCTTTTCCTTGTCATCTTTTCAAAAGCACTTTCATAAGCAGACTTTAATACATTTTCAGAGCTACTAACACCTGAAATATCTAGGTCATGTCCGGCCAGTGTATCGTTAATTGAGCAGGCCCTTTTGATACATCAAAAGTGTAGCGCCACGTCTTCCATACTGACAGCAACACTCCTTGGTAGCTCCTTCCAACCAGAGGGAGGAACAACAATAACGTGCAAGTAGAATGTCTCATTCCAAAATCCTTTTCAAAAGCAGTATCAGAAAGGAGCCTGAGTTCTGAGTTAATGGGAAGAGACTAACAGGCCAGATACAGAGAGAATGAACAGGTAAATGAAATAAGATAAATTAAAGGAAGGAAGAAAAATGAGACTAGGGAAAGGGAGAAGAAAGCAAATCTGGAGGGACTGGGAGCGCCAAA